ATGTACGGCACATGGCGAGGCCGCGGCTCGCAGGGGCGTAGAGCGCCATGTCCATGTTCTAGTGCGGAATGTGGTTCTCGCCGCCGTAGTCGTAGCCATAGAAGAACAGTGGCTCGGCGTGCTTCGTCCTCGTCATCGCTGTTGTTTTTGTATCCTCCCGACATAACACCTTTCTGCAATCCACTTCACAAGGATAAATGAAAAGTGAACTCTGCGCTTATAAAAATACCTGGTTCTATGACATTACTCAACTTTCGACCGGTTTGTAGGACAAGCAGAGTACAATATTTGGGTCGCTATAAAACGTACCTATACCCACTCAAAGCAATCGACACTTTATTGTTACGAAACCGTTTTACCGTAGCCATGAAGCGTCAACAAGGAAGGTTGTAAAAACGGAATCAACTGATCAAACCGTTTGGAAAAGTCACCGTACACAAATGACAAGAGCCCACAGTGGTGTAGAGCACTTTGCCATCACCGGTACTTATGCACGCTACTGCGATGTACTAACTACTGGTGTGGCCGATATTCTAAGCATTAACTCAAGCCAATTAACCTTAGTAAAAGTACTCTAACTACGAAAAAGATTCATACTACACAGTGGGTTTAACTTGTTTGAAAAACGTTACTTAGCGTTAGCGGAAATTAGAACTACCAATTCCGTTGAAGCTCCTGACCGTTTTTGTAAGCCGTACCCTATTAGAAGCCGTTTGAAAAAACGTACTGCACGCAAACTAACAGCGCACGCAGTAGCATAAAACAGTGAAGCCAAGTTAAATGTACTAGCCCTACAATTTAATCAATCGACATGATGTCGTCAATTACGTAGTCTCTGGGTATATCAGATAGTATGTAAGCTACTTTAAGTGACCTTTAAATATCCTCACTACTACTTATGGAGCCAAACCATCCATTTTGGTGGCGACATCTAGCGCTCGATCTTGCGCAGATGCCTACTGACGACATGATCACATCTGTGAATGGCTTCAAGCATCATTTGGTGGCTTTTCTCTTTCTTAATCTTGACAAGCCGGTGCAAATAGTTCGGTCCTGGCACTTCGTGATACATACGTCCCCTCTTCTCTTCGGCACCAAGTGTAGCCCGTGTGCGGCGAGCTTAATCTCGTCGTCTTTCTCGCAATCAATGTAGTCGGCGCTCGAGTTTGGAAGGTCGTCGTAACGTGGCAATACTGTAGGCCTTTGAACCGTTTTTTATGTGCGACTTCTTCGTTGCTGCGACCGGAGGTTTTGTAGTCGAGCTTACGACACTCTGACCCGAACGCAGCGCTAATGTCTTCAGTGTCTGATTCGTACGCAACTTTGATGACGTCGTACGCAGCCCCGATGACTTTGGTATTTGACTCGTACGCAGCTCTGATAACCCTGATATCGCGTCAGATTCAAGGTCTTCACGCCGCTGCCGGAGGAGTCGAAATCGAGATCGAGGCACGGATTGATATGTATCAACGGCAAGGTCGGACTCTTAAGCGGAAATGGCTGGTAATACATGCTGCAGCTTCATATTTCGATGTCGGTTACTTCGTGCAAATTATAAAGTGTCAACATAGTTTGATAGCTTATCCACTCCGAGCTTTGAGAACGATGGATCCTGAAAAGAAGTTAAAGCGGTGCTTCAGCGGAACTTAGAGCGTTCCGTTAACGCCACTCGAACGTATTTCAGCACATCTATGAAATGTGGATACGCAAATAAGCAAACCGGAATATTCATTGCTCCGTTGAAGCTCCCGACCGTTTTTGTAAGCCCTACCCTATTAGAAGCCTTTTGAAAATCGCACCGCACACAAACGACCAGAGCCCACAGTGGTGTAGAGCACTTTGCCATCACCGTTACTGCACGCTACTGCGATGTACTAACTACAACTTAAATTATAGTTGGGCTGAGCGTTCTAGAATCCGTCTAATATAAAATTGCGTTCT